ACAAAATAACTCATCATTACAGGAAAGCCTTTTATCTGCTGTCATCTGTGGCTATGCTAACTAGACTTAGCATTGGTGGTAGGCTGTGGTGTGCTGAACACAAGAGTGATTGACAGCGCTAAGACCCACCTTGTAGCTCTGATTGACTAGCACCAGCTAGCATTTTTTCACAGATTATGTATTAGCATGATGGTAATTTTAGTCTCCTCTGACCTAAAGCTCTGAATAAATTAGAAATTCACTGTTCAAGCTAAATCACACATAAATAACATTTCTGGGTGTATTTCTTCCTTTTAAGGAATCGCTGCCCTGTTTTACAAGTCACACTCAAATACTTCTAAATGTGACTCATGGTTTAAACGAGGCCGTAAACCGAACCCAGTTTGTTTGGACTTGATGTTCTTCTCACATTTGGGATCTTCGGTTTCCCCTTCCACAGCCAGAGCCGTCTCCCGCTCGGTCCCACCGACGTAACGCTGTCGCGTCGCCTCCATCCCGCCTCCATCCCGCCTCCATCCCGCTGGGCCTCCAGGGAGTCCGGGCACAGCGAGCCGGAGAACGGGGGCGGCTGCTGTGAAATCAGGGTTCGCTCCGCTCTGAGGCTTTCTTTTCATTTTCTTCACACGGTTTCTGCTGACACGAGAAAAAACTCTTAATTAAATTTTGCTCCAGAGAAGCTTCAGTCTCAGCATAACTTTCTATTCTTAACTCCATATAAAAAGCAGAGAGCAGCTCTGGATGGGATCCTGATACTCTGACTGACTTTCACATTTTACCATTTTGTTTTTAACATTCATGAAATTTAGTTTATCTTCTTGCTGTTACTTTTCTTTTAGTTTTCTCTTTAAACCATTGAACATTTAATTTCCCTTTGGGATTAATACATTTTAAAAAATTGCTTTTCAGTGCTGTTAGAATAAGATTTATATTGTTCTGCTGATTTTACACCTGTTGTTTGATGCAAACCCCTAAAAATCTGAAATATCTTTTAATCATAAGTTCTGTTTTCTTGAGGAAGATTGATCTGGACGAGCTTCTAAAAATCAAAAATCCTCAATGTCTGTGAAACATTTTCACAAAAAATATTTGCATATTCACCTCAAAAACACAATCTAACCAAGTATTTTTATCGTTTCTACCTCAAATGATGAAATAAGACAAAACAAGCTTACAAGTACATGAGCTTGTTTTAATATTGACGACAAAGTACTATAACATAGGAAAAATGTCTTATCACTGAAAAAAATCTGGCACCATACAGTATATGCACGAGAAACTACACCAAAAAATGGTTCAATACATGTAAATGTTGCTCCTCTGATCTTGTTTTTATATGCCATGAGTGCCTGAAATTTCAGTAAACTGCTAATTATTTGGCCACAAAAATGTTAAAACCATTTTTAATTCTCATTTTTTGTTGGTGTTTTATATTCAATTCCTAGTGGGCCTACAATATATTGAATTTGTGTTTGTAACATGAATTTTGTTTAAACGGTCAAGGATTTTGAAAAGATTAGATTACATCTAATATTAAAACGAAGACGTATAGTTATGACAACCAATAACATTCATGCCTTTATCTCAATGTCCTGGAAGGTTTTTGATGTATTGATCTATTTGGGTACTTTATTTCAAAATGAAGGCGTCAAACCACAGACAGCCAGTCAAACTGATCAGCAGGTGACCTTCATCTTCCCCTCTTTGCCCTCAGACTCATCAGCTGTAATGACGCTGCCAGTCCGCCATGTCTGCTGTTCATTAGCTTTTGTCTGGGCCGTAAACAAAGATCCAAAGGATAAAGTCAGCGTTTAGATAATGAGACCGGATCCAGAGAGCGTCCTGGTGTCCTTTAGCTTTGAACTCAACCTTGCACAAAGCAAAGACCAATGTCACCAAATCCCTGCATCCACAAACACACTAAACACCGGCGCTAATAACCATGGAGCCGATTCACAGCTACAGAGCCGATTATTAGGAAGTTTTTAAATGATGTCAACAGTTAGCAAACGCACCATCATGACAGAAACAAAGTGAATAGTTTTACATTCACTTTTTCATATTGAAGAAATTAGTGTGCAGCTCTGTCCACCTTAATCAGGTCATGAGATGACCTGGTCAAAACCAGGTCATCTCATGATTTACATGTTTATATGATTCCTTGATAGGTCAAATTACACAAAACATGATTTCACAAAATGACATTTCATTCTGGTCAGTTTTGCATTTTTACCTGTTTTAGGGCGTTTTATAACTTTAAATCCAATTAAGCTGCTGCTGGCCACGCCCTGAAGTCAACATTAACCTGGCATGAAAATTATGGCAAAAAAAATTGTAATTACACAACTGTATAGCTTTGAAAAGCATTAGTAGAGCATCTTGTACAACCAACAATAATGGAGCATGTGGTTTCTGGATGGTAAATCAATTGTCCCATCAACTGTGACTCAACTTCTGGGAGGCTTTTGAAATGGATCATTTTCTAATAACCAAAAATATTAACTTATTGCCTATAAATGTCTGTTTTTTTTTAGTGCTTTGGTTGTTTTTAGAAGCAGCAGATTTTGTAAAATAGGTCATCTTTAAAATCCAGGGTTTAGTTTTAAATGGGCTAGATTCTAATTTACTATCTATTTAATTTATTCTACATCAAGCTTGAACAAACTAGTCATTTCAAAAATATTGGGGCTCTTCCTCTCTCATGCCTCATTGTTTGAACGTGAACTAACTTTGCATTTATGTTGCTACAGGACAATCTGACCACTACTTACTCTTTCTTCTACCCTCCAGATTGCAGTTATTTTACCACTGTTTTCTCCTTTTCTCCCTCAATAAAAGCTGCATCTGGTCTATTTATTTGATCCTGGTAGAAACATGGAGCAAAGTCCCAACTATTCACAGAATATTGACAATGTTCTATTCTTCAGGTTGAACTGGATCTTGTTTTTAAAATCTTTTTAACTGGTTTTGGTCTTAAATGCTGGGTGGAGGCATTTTTTAACAACATGGAGCAGCTAATTAGCATCTCAGTAGCTCATAACATACCTGAACTAAATCCGGAATCCCAGATGAAGTTCAAACCATCATCGATCGTATCCCGACTTCCAGAAGGGCAGCAAAAGCAAATGAGCTGGATCAGCAGTGCTAGCCAACAATGGCGTCATCCAGGACGTGTTTCAGTTGAGCTATTAGCATGTACAGCTAGCTGCGTTTCCATTACAAATGTGCGCAAAACTTTGTAGAAAAAAATGTATGCAGCTTCTACGGGTTTCCATTATACAAAACAAACCCTAATTAAAATCACACGTGAATAAATTTATTTACATAATTCAAGAAACATAACCAGCTACTTCGGGTCATCATCTTCGTGGTTTCCGACAGCGGCGACATCCGGCTTTTGACGTGACTAGTGCAAAAACAAAAATTCTATTGCCGTTTTACAAAATAAAAAGTCATCCTGGCGTGAAAAGTTTTTCGATTTTTATTAATCCAAGTTTCCATTGAGTTAATATTCAAAATATCAAATTGCGCTGCAACACATTCAATGGAAACAACTGGAAATCCTGTCATCCACAGCGACTCATAAATAATTACACTTTGGGATAAAGTTTTTCTTTTTTTACTTAATAGAGAAGGAATAGCAGCTTCCACCATGAAAACTCTGCAGTCACATTAGAAATTATTCAATTAGCATTTCGCTTGTTGCTGTGGAAGCAGCAGCTTCCCAAACTCATTTACAGCAACATTTAGAGACAAACTGAAGACGACAAAAAACAAACGACACATGCTGGTCGAAAACATAATGCCCTGGATTTATTTCATTTTGTGACATTTCAAAAGGATTTCTTTTGTTTGTGTGTGTGGTGGTGGTTGGGTCTACAAAAAAAACAAACAGAAAAAGAGTCATGAATCAGACTGGGAAACTGGAATGGGCATTGGAATAGTGGTACAGACAAAGAAAAACTACAAGTAGCCTTGTTCAGTACCAAACTCTTCACAGAAGAGAGCACTTTTTTTTTAGGTTTTTATTTTTTCCCAAATGAAGGCACCCGATAACATGTGGTTCATGGCCTTTCAGCCTTCAGGATAGCTTTTTTTCTTTTTTAAAGTAGAGAAAACGTCTAATTGTTTTTTCAATTCATACATGTTTGTTATTACATAGAGGCTGGAATGATAAATGTCAGTTACTGCAGTTTTTTTTTACTCCTTATAATAGATATATATATATTTTGTTTAGAGCAACAAGTAACAAAAGAATGAAGTTTTTCCATGAGCAAATTTAAAAAAAAAAAAAAAAAAAAGGGGGGGGTGGGGATACAAAAATATTTATTAAAAAAAACAATGAGATGGAGGAAAAACAATGAAAAATGAGGCTGTCTCGTGAAAACCAAATGGTAAAAATCATACAAAAGCAGCATCAGTCAATAAAAAGTAAATCATAGTGCTTAGATACGTCAGAAGCAGCAAAGACTTCTGAGAAAGTCTTCATCCCAATTGTTTTGTTACTTGTCTCAGGAATAAAAAAAAATGTGTGGAAGAGCTTTGTGGAGGAGCTGATGCCAAACAAAGGCCTCGCCTACCGGCCTGCGACTCCGCAGACTCAACACGACGAATGTGGTGGAACAACGAAACATGTTCGATATTTTTAAAAAAATATGCAGATGTAGCTAAACACTGACTACAGCTTGGGGGCACCGGTGAGAGGTACAGAGTATTTAAAATTCAGCGGAAAACAAAAAAACAAATGACATGAATGGAGGGGAGAGGGAATGTGGGGAGAAATAACTTTTTGTAAACACGGCACAATAAATAGATCCAACAGCAGGTTCTGCACCATGCATGTGATGACATACATTTTTCTGTGGTACAACTTTCACTCGTTATTTTTGCACCAGTTGCAGTTTGTCGTTTTCTCTTTTAATATTTTTTCTTTTTAACTTTGTATCGAGTGCAAAACATCACAAATGAACAATTCTGTATTCAAGTAATGTTATATACAAGAACGACGGTGGTGGTGGTTGGGGGGGCACAGGGGGGTATTTTGGGGCATTTAAAGGTGGGGCAGGGGTATTATTACAAATATGCTGTACTGTACATATAATTGCCATATTAAGAATTTACAGACGATCTCTTATTAACAAACGGGGGGAATTATGGGAGGGGAGAAGAAAAAGAAATTTGTACGAGACGAGCATTGCAATTAAGTCCCAAAACGGTTGCCGTGGAAACCCAACCTTGCAGTGCTCATTCAGCCACCACTTGCATTCACGACTAACCAAAACGATGCATAGCACCTCAAAAAGAAACAAAAGAAAAACAAGGAGGAAATAAAAAGCTGAAGGAAGTGAGTTCTCCCTCGCGGCCGGCGGCGGCTACGTGACTTCCATGGCCACTGTGTTCTCTGACAGACTGTTCAGCGCTGGCTTGTCTTGCTCCAGATTCTCCCTGAATGGGCAAAGGAAGGCAGAGCAGCGCCGTTAGCTTAAATGCTGACAGCTTTATTTGTTAAAGAGACACAAACATCAGAAAAAGTTTGTTCCAGAACAAACGTGTATAAATAAATTGGGTATATTTTGTTAAGCTGCTGTAACAAGTAAATCCAAGAAGAAAGTTTTTATGATCCTCTAATCTGGAGCAAATATTCAGGAAACTGTAAAACTTCAGAAATATAATCTTGTTAAAAATTGTACCTTAAAGATTTTACCTTTCATCAAAACTAAGTTACCTTTAATTAGTAACAACATTCCAGTTTTGTTGTTCTTGATTGTGGAGAAAAAAATTTACTATTTTATTGTTTGTTGCAATAAGCAATGAATGAATTGCATAATGAATTAAAACAAATACAATAATTTACTGTTTATTTTCTACTAAAAAACTGGAAGGATAAAAATCTTGTGGTTTGGTGCGTTAGCCTCAACTAAACATTTTGTTTACAGAGACTTCATAATTCATCTTATTTATTATTCAGTGTATTTTGGATTTAAAATATTTTCAATGTTAAGCTTATTGATCGTTGAGAATGTGTTCTTGCTTTATTACTACCAATATATCACTTTAAAATGGTCTCAAAATCAACATGGCTGTCTATCGTAATAATTTATTGTCCTGTAAAATTATAGCAAATCTGCTCTTTTCCTAGAAATTTAAAAACATTTAAATTCAGCCTTCAGATAAAATTGACCATATCAGGAAAAGACAAAGTTACAAAAAGGTGAAAAAATAAAAATGAGTGCATATTTAGTTTGCAGATTGTAAAATAATTCAAAAAGGTGTTTTCCTCACCTGGGCACCATGTCCAGCGGGGAGGTGGAGGACGCGCCCACCTTGGGTTTCTGACAGTTGGCGGTCGCCGCGTGGGCGAGCTTTAAGGCGGATGTCGACATGGTGGCGCTCAGCGTCCGCGGCGCGTGGATGCGCTTGCCGGTGGGGATCGCCAAACGGAGGCTGTTGTTTCCCAGCAGGACCTGAGTGGCGTTGGCGGGGGGGTGGGCTGTGCCGTTGTTACTGGTGGCGGAGCCGAGGGCGGTGGAGCAGGGGTGGAGCAAGGCGGACGTCGGGGTGGCGGAGGGAGGAGCCGGGGCGGCGGGGGACGGGGACGCTGAGCTCGAGAGCGACAAGCCCTTGTAGACACCTGAGGTTGGGGTAAAAACGGGGGTGGGGGCAGTGGTGGTGGGGAGGGGCAGGAAGGCAACAAGGGGATGGGGGTTTGGAGATGGAAGTTGAAATTATCGACCATCTTTAAGGGAAAAATGAAATAAATTCTAATTTTTGAAAATGTTTTCAAAGGGGCCACAGAAAACTGCAAAATATGAATTTAGAAACAATGTGACTAACTCTTTACTGTGTTTGCGTATTTAAAAAGGGAGAAATCTGGGTCTCTCCCAGTTTAATGTTCATGCACAAAATTATAAGATTTATCACTGCAACAGGTTTTCTGGGTGTTGAAATCTCTCAAATTCATGTTTTCACAGCAAAAACACAAAATCTTACCAAGTATTCTGTCTAATTTACAGGGCAAATATCTAAGTACATTTCAAATAAGAAAAACTGACTTACAAGTAACTTTTCAGCAAGAAATATGAACTTATTTCACATCAATAAATCCTTAATATTATGAAAAAAAATGTTTATCCATTGAGAGATTATTTAACTTGTAACATGGGAAAAATGTCTAGTTATAAGTGAAATAATCTGCCAATAAAATAAGTCATTTGTAAATCAATATTAATGCATTATTGACTGTAAAGCTCTTATATCTCACTGATATATCTTACCGTAAATTAGCTTCATCTTATTTCAAGTGTATTAATATAAGTGAAATAGAAACTAGACCAAAGGATTGTGCTTTTGCAGTTTTCTTATTTCCCAAAGAATTAAAATACTTTTTTCCTGTTCTGTTAATCTACCAACCTGCATGATCCTTTGTATTTTATTTGAACTTTATACAGACGATCTCATTTACAAGAGAGACTGTCTTTGCTTTAAAAAGGGGGGTTGAAATGATTAATAAGAACAATCGTGATTAATCAATAATTGAAATAACAGTCAACTAACTAAGTAATCGATTAATTGTTAACTGTAGTAAACACCAGTTGAAAGAACACCAGTCGGAGCAGTATTTACAAAAATACATGTTGCAATTTTTGGGATTTGTCTCTACGTTTGTTCAACCCAGAACTCTTCAAGAAGCAGTTTTAGCTTCACTTAATTCAATTTCTGACAAGAAATCTCTTAAGCTCAGTCTGCAAACCAATTATTAATCAAGTAATCAACAGCTCAGAAATAAACTGTGGTGACATTCACCTAAGCAGATGGGATTGAGCTTTTTTTTAAAAATCTTTACTAAAGACTATCAATCCTTCACTGAAGCAGTGCTAAATTAGTCAGTAAAACATTGATTCTTATTAAAAAAGGATTAAAAAATTTTTTTGCATCTTTTAATGCATTTCTAACATTGTTTGAAAAAGGCTTAAATAAAAAATTAGCAAAATGTGCCAGTTTTTTAAATCAATTAATCATCAGAACAATTGATTAATCGATAACTCAAATAATCGTTACAATAATAGAAGTAGTCACGAAACTTGACTAAATTAAATAAGTTATTACAATATGTTTGGTAAAAATGAGCAGAATGCTCACAAAAATAAAAGCTGAAATTTGTCATTTGAGCAGTTTGACTAGAAAACCCAGGAAATCACTGGTTTGTTATGCATGGTGAGGATTTTAAAAGAGAACTTATGTCACCGTCTATAAAATATTTATTGCAGTTAAGCTCAGATTTAAGCAACAGCCAAGTAACAAAGGTTGCTTCTTGCTTCACACCAGAATCCCAAATAAAGGAAGGCAGGCATGGGGTTTCATAAACTCTAGTTTTCTGATTTTATTTGATCTTTGGGGAAACTTTAGGCGTTTCATCCAGCGACACTCTAGGGTGGAGCCTTTGTGTCGTCAGCTGTACCTGAGGAGAGGACGCCATTGACTCCGCCTCCCAGGGCCAGCTCGTCCTTGGTTTTCAGAGCCAGCAGTTGTTCGGCCGAGACGAGGGCCGAGGCGGCGAAGTGAGCGTTGGCCTCGTCCAGCGTGTTCGCCAGACTCTGTGAGGAAGAGGAGGAGAGTTCAGGAGAAACCCAGCGGCTGAGTGTGTGGTGGCGGCCGCGCGGCGGCGGCGTACCGACCTGTGTGCTGTTGGCAGTGCTGTTGGCTTGGTGCTGCTGCTGGATCTGCTCCAGCTGCTGCTTGTGCATCAGAGACAGCTGCTCCTGATGCTGCTGGTACTGTTCTGCTGTGAACGCTGAGACAGAAGAGAAAGTTAGCCATCTGGGAAAAACACGTCTTTATACCACACTGAGATAAAATACTGCTGTAACCAATCCGGGTTACTTTGAGAAAAACAAAGCTCCATGAAACATCGACTGCTGATCCTGGATGTAGGAAAGTAAAGAATCAAAGATGAATAGGAGGACTCGCATGTTCACAACGTCATTTTGTGATTTGGCATGAAATGATTAATTGGATTACTTGTTATTGATTAAGCTGCTGCAGCTACAACAGGAAGTAAGAGCAAAAGGAGACTCAAAATTGTTTTATACAGAAACAGTCTATTGAAAAAACTAATTTAGTGAACAATTAATTGTTAAATGGAGTATACAGGCTCAAAAAAGTCAATTTGCTGAAGAAATGAACTCAAAACTGTTCAAAATAAAATGCATTTTATATTTCAGATGAAAAACCTGCTTCGTCTGAAACATGTTCTGCCCAGAACTCCTTCGTGTCGCGTTATCTGTATACAACTCGGAGAAAATACTGCAGTAAACCAGGCTGATTCCATTTCACCAAAAAATAAACCAAAAATGCATTGTTTACTATAATCTCAAATGATGTGTGACTTTACACTCAGAAAAAGAAGATTTACTGAAAAAACAGAGCAGAAATTCAGCCAAAACTGCAACAAAAAAAATACATTTAAACTTGACTTTAATCCAGTCAGTTTGGAGAAAAACAGACCAAGAGGAATTCGGCAAACTCAGTGTAAAAACGTTGCAGTAGATTGTGTGCTGAATTTGCCACTAGTTAGTATATTTGAAACATTAATCATCTCAAAACGTTTTGTTTCAGTCTGATTTAAAACTTTGGAAAACAAAACTGAAAAACAAAGACCTATCCTCTGCTAACATGGTGGGAAAACAACCAGCCAAACTTTTCATTTGACTTGGGAAACATGTCAAATATTTGCAGAGGATCCCAGTTTTAGTCCCTTTAAAAACCATCTGTAACTACAGGCCAACCACCAAACATGCCTTAATGATGGTACAGTCATGCAGCGATATGTATGCAATACATGTAATACATACACTTTTCATTTTTTGCGAATGGAAAGCGGTGAAACCAAACAGGTTCAAAAAAACAACCAGCTAAACGTTTTCAAGCATCAGGTGAGAACTTCACTTTGTTTGGATCAAATCTGCATCACTTCATTCATCTCTTAGCGTTTCTAAACAATCAGTTGGATTTCCCAGAGTGTGCAAACAGAACCTGTTCAGGTGTAACAACACATCTAGTGTAAAGCTAAAGCTAATCTTCAGAAGCAGGAATTCAATCACATCCACATCAGGAAAAAAAAAACAAAACATTAAAATCCTGCTGCTAGTAAAACATCAGCATTTTCCTCCTGACTCTTGGTTTTCGCCTCGAGTCTTTTGTTGTTTTTTTACTTTTTATTGATTTCAAAGTGTTGTTTCTCATGTTGTGGAATGAAGCGGCTTCATGCTCCTCTGAAATATTGATTTCCTCTTTTCCCTGCCGACCCAGAAGTTTTCTATTCCACAGCAACTGATTTTACTAGTCCCTCTATTCTCCGAGTCAAACATCTGATGACATCTCCAGCTTATCAAATCCCTCCAATCTAAAGTTTTCCCAGTTAACTCTACACCGCTGTAGCGCCACTTTCAGCAGAAGAAGCCTGTTAATTTGACTCATGCCTGAGTATTTTCATTATGGTGCAGCTTCACAAACACAATCAATAACCAAAATGCATTTAAAAACAATGTTTGCACCACCATCAGATGCACCTGAATGCCTTCAGAGTGCAGCGTTTAGCCTGTGACTCAACACATCAACAGATCGGCGTGCGTCACAAATTTATTCATCACCTCCAGGTTTAATTGACACCTCTGGGATTGGAGGGGAGCTCACACTTAAAAACAAGAACAAATCTTTCACTTTGTTCTGTAAACAAATGCAAAATTAGAGCCGATGCAGCAACATTGTTAAAATAACTGATATCGTTATATGACTGACACTGGAAGACTTAATTATTCAGATACTCTGAGACAAAATCGATACAAGCCGACTCATTTGTCTTTGCACAAGTAATCACTTCTTCAACAACAGCTTTTCACAGCTGATTAAAACAAAGAGCTGCTCCAAGTTTAAAAATAACAGAGAGAATCTCCAGACAAAAAACACTTTTTGGACAACCAGGAAGTTATTTGGGATAAGTGGAGTTCCCCAAGGTCCATTCCTGGAGCCACTACATGTTTCCACTAGTCACATTTATTACTACACAGGTCTGCCAACACTGCAGATGACTAATGCTACTTAGCGTAACCACTGATGATGGCAGATAAACAGTTTTTCTGTAACAGCTGGTTGATTTTCTGCTATCTTGCAGTGAGTACATGAGGATGATTGATAGCACCAAGACCCTTCTCCTGGCTCTGATTGGTTGTTTTGGTCCAGAGTGACGCATTTCTTCAGATGGCAACAGCAGCTCAGGAAGGTTGTGTTCTTCACAGATTTGTCTGAATAATCTGTGCATCGACTTATCAGCACCAATTTCCTCAATTTCGGGAAATTGGTGATAGGCTGATACTTCCACGTGAAGCCGATCTCATCCACCGATCTCATCCACCGATCTCATCCACCGATCTCATCCACCGATCTCATCCACCGATCTCATCCACCGATCTCAACCTCCAATCTCAACCTCCAATCTCATCCACCAATCTCATCCACCGATCTCATCCACCGATCTCATCCATCGATCTCATCCACCGATCTCATCCACCGATCTCATCCACCGATCTCATCCACCGATCTCATCCATCGATCTCATCCATCGATCTCATCCACCACAGCTAAAAATCAGCCTTGTCCTCTGTGGTGAGAGTTTTGTCTGACAGACCTGGCGATTTAAAGATTGGAAAACTGCCATCTATGCAACTCTGTAAATCGTCATTACATGGTGAGAGTTTTAGCAAAAAAAAAAAAAAGTTACACACTGCAGCTTTGAAGAACCCTCTAGTGCCACTTACCAGCAACGGGTGTGGGAGGAGGGACCACCCTGGCTGGGCGTTGCGATCCGAATGGTCGTCCCCCGGCTGAGGCGGCGAGCGGACGCTTCATGCCTCGACTGAGCCTCCTGAACAGCGGCTGGGCGTTGTCCAGCTCGTGTAGTGGTAGTGTCCGAGGTCTGAAGTGCCTCCAGCGGCACGACTTTATATTAGACAGTATCTGGCTGAGGTCCGAGGAGGGGGGCGGCGCCGAGGGGGGGGAACTTCTGTCCGAGGTATTTGTTTCTGAGGTACCGGCGAGCGCGTTGGGAGCCGGCGAGCGTGAAGTCGCAGAGGGAGGCGGAGAGGCGGGCGGCAGCAGGTCGGGCGTCTCCGGGTCCAGTTGGTGGAACGAGTCGCCGTGGTCCATATGCGCCCGGTCCAGCAACACCCTGCAGGCCCACAAGAACCAAACAGTCAGGAACAACTTCCTTTAGTTAAATCAATGTCAACAGTTCATTTAACTAAAACAAAGAAATCATGAATCAGAATAACGTCACATAAAAATAAAATTAGCTTCTGAGCTCAGAAAACCATGACAGACCAGCACCAGTATGAAAGTTAAACCAATATCAATGTTGCTGTTATGACTGATAACTGATATCTTATATATTTCACTTTGTCAAATTTGATGAAAAGAAAAGCATCCAGAAAACAGACGAGATAAACATATCGGCTCAGTTTTATTTATCGAATCGATACCGATGCTGGTGCCGATATCGGGCTTCCCTGTTACAAACACATTTCAAATACTCAACCAAATTCAATGCCACATCGCTTCATGACGACGACTTTCAAGTTTATTTTACATCCAGAAAGACTAAGATTGTTAAAAAAAAAACATTTAACTGATATGCATCTTTATTTTAATTAATTTCAGTTCGTTGCAAGTTATATTCACTTTCCCTTTTTGTAAACCTGCTTGGTAAAAATAATTGAGCTGAAGATATTGTACTTGATCAAATCATAACGTTTCAATACGTTTAACTGTGTAAATATTCGGTTTTTGTTATTTCTGTATCCACTAACAGTAATAAACATTTCCTTCTGCAAAAAGAAAAATGTAATCTATACGTTTTACAAACTTCCACACAGAATGTAAAATATGGAACAATCAGTGAGTTATACAAGTTAAATTGCAACTACACCAGATTTCCATAACATTTCTTTTCTTTTTTGTATCTCCACTCTGACATGCGATTGTGTTTCAGATAAAATGTGGGAGTGAAGCAGAACTGACCTGCCGCCTCGTCCCACGCGCCGCCGCGCCATGCCCAGGCAGCGGCGTGGAACCGTCAGCGTAGTGAGGCTGTAGCGGAAGCGCGCTTCGGCCAAGCCGCCGTCCCAGGCGCCGCACCACGGCCAGCTGCCCACCAGGTCCGGACGGGCCTGGACACACAGAACCGCAGCGCTCAGTCTGACCCGACCCTGAAGGCCGCAAATCTGAGGCCGATAAAAACCTCGACTGCAGGCTGACAGCTGATAACGCATCTTTTAACAGGGTTTATACACTTTCACACAGTAAAATTCAAGCACATTTCAAGAGTTTTCAGACTTTTCCAGCACCTCAGCTTGGACACAACAAAAGAACTAAAAAAAAAAAAAAAAAAAGATTATTTAAATTCACGATTATATAATATTCCTGAAAGTCATTTCAGGAAATGAAGTAAATTTTTGCCAAAAATGATTCATTTATTCTCGTCTAAAACATCTTTTGGCCAAAAAAAACACCTCAGGTCATCATTGTTCTTGTCATCATTGTTCTTAGGAAACTTATGAAATATTTATTACTGTTAATAGTTGTTCTGTCATTATTCTACACGCTACAGTAGGCAGAGCTTGATATATGGCAACATTTTATTTTGAAAGGTCTAACGCCTCATACATCTGATTGGTAAGGGGGGAAAAAAAAACAAAATCTTGAAATGTCAATAATTTGAAACAATCCAAATAGATTTTTCTGCTCGAATTATACAGAGAAAGTCACAAAACAGAATCTATAAGAATTAGTTTTATGTTTTCTGAAATTTAGCAAATAAAAATAACCTGCATACATGTAATTTTAGTCTGATTTAACTTTAGGTAGGAGAAATAAATGTGTTTCTGTCTTTATTAGGTGTCCAAAAATATCTGGTTTAAACTCAACATTTTCCAAATTTTGTGTTTTAATCAAAAGTTCCATTGCACTTTATTCCAAATCTGTGCCGGTTGAATATAAAGCACTTTCCGAACCTTGAAAGCGCCTCATTGAAATTCAATTCCAGGATCTCCAACACCTGTTTTAAACGCGGTTTGTTTAAAGCTCGAGTTGAAAGTTTGAGGCTTACAGCGTAGTACTGGCAGCCGGCTCTCCTGCGAAACGCGTACGCTCCGTCTGGGTCGTTCTCCTCCTCCGCTTCCGAAGAGCCAGAGTGGAGCTGTGGGAAAAAGAGGTCGAAGGTCAGGGTTCCAGTCAAGTTCAAGGATAAAAAGGGCATTTACTGTGAAGTTCTGTCGCTCTCAGAAGTGCAGAGATTTAAACTGAAACTGCACCAGAGAGAAGATGGGAATGATTTCTGACAGTTTTGTTTTTGTGTTTAAATCAAACCCAATGAGGTGGAGGTTCATCTTTCCTTAATTGATAAAAATAAACCAAAACAAAAAGAGATTCAGGGTTTCTGCTCATTAATATTAAATGTTGCCTGACAGCAAAAGAACTATGAGAAAAAAAATACAGAAACGATTAAGTAGTTTTGCGGCCACAAAATTTTAAACCTGTGATTAACATATTTAAGGCCAACTTGCATTTAAAAAAAAATGAATTTAAGAGTTTTGAAGAATGTGTCCTAAAATAACATCCTATTTGTTTTTTCCAAATTTGGAAAATCGTACACCTATTTTCCAAACTTCAGTTTATAGAGCAAATATCTTCAAATCTAACTTTTCATCAAGTAACGGGGGCTTGTTTTAAGTACAAAATTTTACATTGATGAAACAGTACTAGTTTAATTTGACTTGTAATTTTTCATCGTTACCCTTTTTTTTTTTTACTTAAAATGTGCTCCCAATACTTGCCGAAAAGTTACTTTTAAGCTAGTTTTCTCTTACTGCATGTGTACTAAGATATTTGCCCTACAAACTAAATTTGGTAAGATTTTCTGTTTTTGCAATGCAGACCTCGGGAAACTCCATCGTTTGATCGCTGAGGACGAGCTAACCCGTTAGCGCCTTACCTGGGAGAAGGGCTCGTCGTCGGAGCTGGGGAAGTCGTACTGGTTCAGGTCCTTGGCGTTGAACACGACCGGACCTGCGTGGTGGGCTGTTCCCGACGACAACGGCAACAACTTCGGCTTCTTCTCGTACCTCCTCTTCGGCCGCTGGGGTTCCGCCTTTTCGGGCTGCGAGAGCAAAGCGTTATTACGACAACGTTCTGGTGCCGCAAAAGGCTAACGCCGCAGTCCTGACAGAAGCTTCACCTTAGACTTGTAGTCCTTGGAGTCCAGATGGTCCTGGTGTCGGTACTGATTGGTGAGCGGAACCAGAGGGATGATCTGCGGCCTCACCAGCGCCCGCTCAGCCAGAACCTCCGCCATTATTTCTCCACCGAAGTCCGACATGGAGTTTCTGGAGACAGAAATGAAATCATCAGTTCAGAGTTTCCACTCTGGAATATTTCAGTTTGAACACTTTTCAGTAAAATTTAACTTTTCCAGGACCACATTTTGAAGATAAAATACAAATGAACTAAAACTTAGAAGAGTTTCAATACATATTTATATATATTGTTATATATAATCCTTATATATTTTATTTTGTACAGTAAAAAATGTTTGGGTTTTAATATTTTATATCCAACAGCAGGAACAAAAATTTATGTTTTGAAGTTTCTCACTCTCCCCGCACACCTGAATGATCTGAGAACGAAACACTAACAAAAAAAATTCCCCAAATTTCAAAAATGTGGTTAGATAATCAGAAGAGTTTCCAAAATGCCAAACTTAATTTAAGTCAAATTTAAATTCAAAATACTAAATTGATCCAAAAGGGAAACTAAATGTTGTGGTAACTCATTCATTATGATATTTAAATAAAAAGCTATTGGGAATAATAAACATGCATAGCATTGAAACTATATTAAGGTAACTGACCTTCATTGTCAAATTAAATAAGTTATTTCTAAAATAACTGCCCAAGTCATATTTTATCAAAAGATGAATTAGACGAAAAAGAAAAAGAAAATTTACAAAATACACAAAGAAAGTTGGAAACAAAATCTCAACGTGTTCTTGCCAAGTTTTCTGGCTTTGAAAAAATAAATGACTTTAGTGATTCTAACTAAACTTAAACAAGAAAAAAAAACTACAAATGTCAGTCTTCTTATTAAGTATATGAAAATATCTGGTTTTAACTAAAATATTTTCCTAATTTTTGCTTTCAAACGGTTTTTATTTTATTATTTAGTGTCAAGAACTTTATGCAGAAATCAAGCACTTTCCAAACCTCAGACTGCAATTCCAGTGTTTTCCAGGATTTCATAAAAACTCGGCTTGTTGCTTCAGTTCCGTTTGGGAAGCAGAACTTTGGGTCTGCAGTAGGACTCACCGTTTCTCGACGATTTCCAGCGTGAGGTGCAGCAGCTCCCTCTTGCTCTTCTCTCTCCTCTTGATCATCTCCAGAATGGTGACGGCCCGGCTCAGGTCCCTGCGGAGCTTCAGCATCTTCTCGTACGACGCCTCGTCGTTCTTACGGTTCTGAGTGAGGAAAAGGAGACACCGCTTTAGACAAACGACCCAGCTGTCAGGAGTTTGAACGCTTGTGAAAAGGATTAAAGGCTCATGTTTTACTCATGGCCCTGAATTAGGATTTAAGGCTGTGATAAATATATGAACAAAACCAGGAAGGTGGAAACTGAGGCCTCAGACTGTTAACTTTCTGTATATAAATACTCAAAATTACAATTTCAGCTTGGATTTGGCCCAACCGAATAAAGAAAAAATTAAATAAAATACCTGCATAAAACCAAAAAAAAACAGTAATTTGAGTTTTGATATTTTATGGAGATGTTTGGCAAAAAATACTTTTAAAACAATTGTCAATTATTTTTTTTACCAACTCAATAATTGACTATTTTAGCAACTTTTCAGATAAAATAAAACAAATTGAATAGTTTTTGGGGTTTTTTAAAATCAGTCATCAGCCAGAATTTGAGCGCCTCCATTATAAACCCAACATGACTATTTCATCCAAAAACAATTAAATTGAACAGAAATTTGTTTTTCACTGCATGTTTAGTCTCATTTAAATTCAACTTCTAATAAAATCTGTTTTCCACAAACCAAATAGTATTTTAATTCAGTTTTATAATTAAATCCATTCATCAAAGCCTTGTTCAAAACTGAAAACATTTTAAACCATGAATGGAAATTTATTTCACAGAGAGAACAAAAGCTGACATTTAAATCTGACATTTTCTATGTTTAAGGATAAAATTAAAGCTGCAAGTTTTTCCATCTAATGTCTGCTTCATAAGAAACACTTAAACCACATCCAGACGTCTCATAACTGAATTAAATCGACTAATCAGAGAGAAAAGGAAAACGCCTTTGATGCTGAATTGTTGCAGTTGAACAACAGCCTGATTGGTTTATTAGAAAACTATTGTGATAAAAATTCTAACTGGGTCACAATGTCCAATATGACCTAAATTATTAGGTGTACTGCAGGTCCACAGGAGTGTCCAAAGTCTGGTTCAGGGGCCATTTGCAGCCCTTGGAAAATACTTATTCATGGCCCCCCATTCTAAAATGCAAAAACTGAAACTTTGGTTCTCAGTACATTCATTTGATACAGATAGACACAATTTTTACAGAAATTTAACAAATAGAAAACATTAGGTAAAACAAAGTTTTGACTTTTACCAGAGACATTTTTTCCAATCTTTTTAGATTTTATTTGAAGGAAATGTGAAGTTGGATCACAAATATGTAACATTTACTAAAGTATAACTGGAGTGAATTTATTAATTAAAGTTGGCAACTTTTTCAAAAAATGACTCCCCAGTTTAGTCTAGAGAAAATAAAAACAGATTAAATATTTTATTTAAAAAATTAAACACTATTTGGAAAATTATGTTTTTAGTAAAGACGATTTTATGTTTAAAGATCCCTTTTCTACAAAAATCTAAATATGTTTCGTCAAAATACTCCAGTTTATTACTGAACTAAAAGTTAATTCATTTTTTTAAAAAGGGAAATATTTTTGTATTTTTGATTATAAAATAAAAATTGTGATTCAAATACTTTATATTTGGCACATTTGGCTACACTGTAAATGTTGAACAGTATTTTTTGACTTTACCATGAGAAAATGTCAATAGTGTCATGACTGACAGCAAGTTTCCCAGCAGTTTAATCCACCTGTGTCCATTTTTAGCTTTTCACGTGAAGATAAGAGTTCATTGTGCCAACGTCAGAGCAGAAGCATGCAGAATATTTACGTCCCTGCAGCCTGGATCAACCCAATCTGTTCACGCTTCACAAAAAGAACGAGGAGGAAACGGAAAAGAAAGAAGAAATCCCTGCAGGTGAAACTAAGTGCCTGTTTGTTCACAATAAAACACCTTCATGACTCGACAGCTTATGCAGTAAAAAAACAGAAAAAAAACAAGCTAAGCTGGAAAAACTTGCTGAAAACGAGTGCAGGGTTTTGGGAAACGAACCTTCCTGGTCTGCATCTTCTCGGTGCGCCGTCGGAACGCCACGTACGGGTCGCCAGTGCTGGAGCCGTCCCGCTTCTCCTGCTTGACGGTGGGGATCAGGGAGTTGGCCTTGCTGTTTTTCCTCTTGCGGCTCCAGTAATCGAACACCTCCTTGATGAGCTCGTCATCCTCCTTCAGCAACAGCTTGGCTTCAGGGAGACTCACCAGCTGAGAGGAGAAAACGGACGGACACACACACACACACACACACACAAAAAACGATTCAAATCGCTGAATCTTTAGCGGCTTCCAGCTGCGGCGCAGTGGCGGTGAAAGCTGACCTGCTGTCCGCTGCCTTTCTCCAGCCGGTCGATCATCTCTTCAAACTGAAGGCAGCTGATCTCCATCTTCTTCTTTAGCTTGTTGACGAAGGCCTCGTCGTCCGTGTCCAGGTCGTAGTCTGGTTGCTCCGTGTCCAAGCTGAAAGCTGCACAAAGGAAAAAAGAAAGAGAAAAACACGATTTTACAGACGTTAAAAAACAGTTGTGAAAATTCCAACAATATTTCAGTCATTAATCTGAACAAAAACAAACAGCAGCTCACAATCAAATGCAGTCAGTCTCCTGGGCCAGACTAAGACAAAGACTCAATAAAGTCATAATATTGAGAGAAAAAAGTTGTACGAGAAATTAAATCATGTAAGAATAAAGTCGGTGCAACTAGTGAAAAAAACAAAATCTGAGAAAAAAACTGACAATACAAGAATAAAGTCAAAACAGATTAAAGTTGGAAGACAAAAAGTTGTAATATGAAAATAAAAATCACAATATTTCCAGAAAAAAAAAACTATTAGTTTGAAATGGTAATTTTACATAAACTGATACAAAAAAAATCTGAAATGCACAGATATGAAAACTTGGGCGGATATCAATATCCGACATTAATAGGTCACTTACGGCCAATTTACTGTCATTGTATACATTTTACTACCGTTTTGACACCTTAAAACAAAAACACTCAACCAAAAACAAGCAGCAACAAGAAACGCTGCTTACAAAACGGCCCAGTTTTATTCCTCTAATGATATAAATATCGGACGATGCCGACGTTAGTGCAGATATACCGTGCATCCCTACAAAAAAAATAAAAATATGGAACGTTTGTGACGTTTAAACTTTGCCATCGGTTTTACAAATGGAAAATACTTCAACATTAAATCATCACCAGACTTTGAAACAAAAGTGCAAACAGAATCCATTTCAAAGAAAGAATCCCAGATTGAATCTCTATAACATTGAAGCTTTACTCTCATAAAAAAAATAAATAAACTTTTGTAGTAATTTTGATCTTTTAGAACATTTACCTGCATTAATAACTTCAGATAATTCATCATCCCGGCCAAATATGGCAGGCCGACTCAAACCGCTTCAAACAACCATCTTTAAATATCCAAAACATTATGAAGAAACCAGGAAGCAGTGTGCTATGAGGTCAAAGGTCAAACTAAGTACAGGCAGCAGCTCCATTCATCTGAAACAGAGCAGCACAAGGAGACCAAAAGTGGGACGCGCCAGACATCATGGTCTGGATGATCATCAGGCTTAATTACACAAACTTTGACCTTTCGGATAAATGACAGATTAATTCCTGCAGCTAATGAAAAGCAGCAGTATCTGTATCTATCCATTAAAATGTTTTTAGGCAGTTTGCCAAATAAAATTCTGATTTCTCTCACTGAACCCCCAGCAGATTATTCACCTCAGAAACAGATTTAATCAATATCATTGATTAGAAAGAGAATGTCTCCCCCGACTCTTCTGGAGTAAATTTTGAGCCGTTAGGAAATCAAGTGAGAGATAATAAACTGATGCAGATCAATAAACGTCACAAAAACTTGATCACATCTCATTGACAGAAACACATTGGCTCAGAATAATAACAGAAAAACAAAATGGCTTCAAATCTAACATTTAATCTGATTCAAATCAGACACTTTCAATTAAAAGCAGCAGCTGTTACTGTGAAAAACTCCAGATTAATCATTTTTGATCTTCAGAATGATGAGGATTTCCTTCAGGTTTGGGAGAAACCCAGAAGAAGAGCAGCTGTGAGATGGACCAAACGTTTTATTTCCACCTCCAGCGGCGGCGGAGTTTGGAGAAGAGCAAATTGCTTTTCTTTGAGGAACAATCGAGGAAACCACCAGTGACACAGAAACGCAGGGCGAACCGCCAAACTCATTTCCTCTGAGATTACAGGGCAAGGAAATCTCCCTGACAAGCTGCAGCTAACCAGTACTTTAGTTACCGATTAACTGGATTCAAAAGCTGGCACATCCTCAAGATTTCGCACATCAGAAATGCATTAAAAGATACAAATGAATTCCTTTTTTAGTGAAGAAAAACATTTAAGTCCCTCAAATGCAGCAACACAGAATCCATTTAGTGCATCATTTGTAGAAATGATGCACCTGCAGCTAAAACACAACATGCAAAAAGCTCAACTTAAATAAATGGCAGCATAAATGGAATTTATTGTGACAATATTGTTGTCACAATAAATCCTTCCCTTGTAAAATACATGATTATTTTAATTTGTGGGGCTATGAATCAAGACTCACGCTGTATGTGAATGAGCTGCTTTGGCATCTTGTAGTCGCCGGGGTAGAGGGAGTCGTAGTAGGTGATGTTGCTCTCCGCCTCGGGGACTGGGATGACCATGTTGTCCCGCTTCTCGCCGTAGACCTGCTGCGCCGAGATGGCCCGCTGGAGATGGTGTTCCTGTGGAGAGAGAGAGAGAGAATAAAGAGGCTGCTGCAGAAAAATAAAAATCAGCCCAACAGTCGGTTCAGAACGATCTTAGATACTAAACCTTCTGATCACAACTGTACAATGAATGTTTACTTTTTGTCTTTTTGAAATAAACTATAAGGAGAAGCCAAAACGGTGCTGGATGAAAACATTTCCTGCTCCTTTCTCGTAAAAACAAAAAAAACAACATCCTCACCCCCCACTTCAGTGGATTCTTCAGTTTCTCCCTGAAAAGTCGCATCATGTGGGATCCTGTGATCTGCTCTCCTTCCCATTTAATTCTCCAAAACAAATCATCTTTTTCAGCTTCTCTACACCAACAACCAAAAGTCTTTGACAAATAAATCCACCGAGATTCAGAGTTAAAGCAACATTTTTTCCTTTATGTTGCAGGTCAAATATTAAAAACTAAAAGCTCCCACTATTTCTGACATGAAAACAGTCATATGCGGTTAAAACACAGAAGTTTGTTAAATTAGTGGTGGCCCTCAAACAAATTTATTCAAATTAATTGTGGTTTCTGTCAATCAGCAAAATTATCAACATTTTCAATTCAAAAACCCTTTATGCTGCTAAATAACTGAATAAATATACATACAAGCCAAACAAAACACTTTTTTAATCAGTTTTTCTTTAGATTCTTCAACCATCAGATTGATGCAAAGTGTTTCAGGAACTCCTGATCCGTCATGGATCTTTTAAAAAAAGGACAGTGGATACCAACATTAGCATCTGAGCTGCTGCAGAAACAACAGAAAGGTTCCATCTGGGACATTTTTTAAAACATGCTAAAAAGTTAAAATCTATGTAACTAATCAAAAACAGTTCTGACTCTAGTTTAAAAGTATACCTCCATTTATCCATTGAAATCTTACTTTCTATTGGTCTCAAAACCTGCAGAACAAGTTTACTCTCCTGTGCATTGAACAAAACGGTTAAGCTAGAAATAAACCACAAGCCAGAATCAGCCAGGAAAACCAAATCAGTGCATCTGTGGTTCAGCAAGGACGTTCTCATCTAACTTAGTTCAAAATGCTTTGACATAAATTCTGATTATTTAACTTGTATGGAAAAAATGTCTTGCTATCAGTGAAACAACCTGCCAATGGAGTTAGTAATTTTCACAACAAGCTCCTATATCTTGCTGAAAAGTTAATTGTAAGTTAATTTAGTCTTATTTCAAGTGTGCTATGATATTTGCACCAAAAATGGACCAAATCACTTGGTAAGATTTTGTGTTTTTGCAGTGTGCTATTCTAGACCTGTGATAAAGGACTATCATTAATATTGTGATGGCTGAAAATGGCCCCAGGGCCACATTTTGGACACCCTGACCTAGAGAGAACAAATGTGGAGTGAAAGTCCGGAGTGTTTTCCCTCCATAACTGCCCATCATTCGGCTCATCTAGCTGCCACCTGCGCTGGGTGCTCGGAGGGAAACGGCCGGCTGGTTTCAATGTTTCCAGTCGGGTTTAACGGCTGAGCCTTTAACTCCGGCTGGCTGTTTGCCAGAGACAGAGACTCCGCTGGGAGGTGTGTTTGTTTGCCCTGAGGCAGACCCAGACAAAGGCATTCGAGGCGCAGGAAGTTGGGAGTGAATGAGTCGGCGTTTCACAGAGGGTGTCAGCGTTCGACCAGTTCATGAAACACCGACAGGCCAACGCCAGAGTTAAGTAGAAACCAAGTAACTTTTGGGGGGAATAAAAATAAAAATGTTTACGAGTATCTCTACTACGCTGTGCTTTCTACTTTTACTTGAGTAAAACTTCTGGATTTTTTTCCCACTCAATAAAAAAAAAAAAAAATAATAATAATAAAAAAAAGATATATATATATATATATATTCACCAAAGATTCACCAGACACAGGCATCTGCAGTTTTTGTTCGTTTTAGTTTCTTTTTAACTGAAAATGACCAATTTGGAAAAATGTTCTTTGGCCTGATTTTGTTATTTATATGAAATATTGTCATTTTCGTCCTTAAAAGTACCAAAATTTCCACTTAACTGTCTGCTCATGTCATTTTTAAATATGAAATGACTGATAATTTGATCAGTTACTCAGTAACTACTCAGTAAGTGATTTCTTGGAGAGCTGCTTTCTACTTCTACTCAAGTAAAATATGTTGAAGTAGCACTACTCTTGAGTACAATTTTTTGGTACTCTGCCCACCTCTGACTAACACCAATATCGTGCAAAAACAAACCTGAGGCGAGTCACCAGCTGATACAGAGAGTAAACTAACATGTTTCTACCTGGACTCTCAAACCTGCAGCTTTGGTCACATTTCTGCAATTACTCAACCAATCTGCTTCTGGCTGAGGTTTGCTTTTTATCAAAGATTAACTCAAATCCAGATTTAAAGCTCAGCAGCACAACACAGCTTTATAATCATGCAACCGTTTTCCACCTTCCACTTTTAAACATCTCATCTATTCCAACCTGTTCAGTTATATTACTGAATTCACCTTGGCCCATCACAATAAATTGTCCCAGAAGTTATTGAAGTAAACAATAATGTTGAGACCCTTTTCAATAAAAATATAATGGCATAATAATACAAGAAAACATTCTGATAGAGCAATTAATTTCACATGAAGATTTAACACTGGAACTGGAAGACATTTTAAATATCCAAAATAAATGAACAACAAAATTGTCCTTCCAAAATGGGGCTGGTTGAGACCAAAACACCAGACTGAAGACTTTTGCCATCCAGTTTTTGGTAGAAAGAAATGGAGAAAAGCAAATTGTGCAAATGGATATTGAACTTGTTTCATCACCGATTTATTCCTTATTGTAAAAGGTCTACGTTCACAGCAGCTTGAGCGTTATGTCAGGCTTATCACTTTCTGCATCAAGAACCAATGCAGCACGTAACTGAACATCAACTGTACTTTTTTGTTTGCTCTCAGGATAAAAGCAGAACCAGTTGGTGAAGCGTTTTTCTGGATCCGAGTTTTTTTGGCTTTAATTTTATTCAATATTTATCATACCTTCAGTAGAATACCGCACATTGTAAGATTAGTGTATTGCTCCAGCCCTAACGAGCAGAAGCTTATGGAATGTGATGCATTAAATAAGACTTGCTTGTATTTGCAAAGCGAAGCAGCAATTTTCTGCTGCAGTTATTTCACAGGTTTGGAACGAGCAACCCTTGTTTTAACATGGGAAGGTTAAAAATGCATCAGTATTAAATTAGCCACTGTGCCGTCTGACAGGAAAAAACTATTTGCTTGGGAGAAATAATTGACTTAACTTTAGTGCCCGCTTGAACTGCAAGATAGAGTAAAAATAAAACTACTTTAATGTAGCCGAACAAAAACTTTAGAGCAATTTTTAACCAAATGTGAGAAAAGTACTTTACAAAGGTCAAAATACATTCAAAAATCTAGAATCGTGTAAATGTGCAATAATTCATTGAAGCTAAATTAGGAGAGAAGCAAGATTTTGGTTTTTGCACAGACTAATCTCAGAGATTTTCACTTTGTTTGGCATTTGAGAAAGCAAACTTGTATTTTCTATGAATCACATTCAGTCTTCCAAAATGCTGAAGCTTCACAGATTGAAACAAATTGAGAAAATCAAAAGGAGTTTGAGCAATAATCAAAGCTTAGAAGTAGCAACAAAGAGGATTCCTGTTCTACATATTAAATGAACCAATTCTCAGTACAAACCCTGATCAATGCAGTCTGAAACGCTGCACATCTGGAACATCTGCAGTCACAGCTGGATTCTCCCCTCTAAGCTCTCTGGTTTAGTTAAGTGAGTAAAGCCCCATTACGTTGGAGTAAACCCTTTAAGGATTAGCGGTTCTGATCCGGGCTCAGTTAATGAGCATGTTCAACCAGCACGCACAAACACAACCAAAAAAAAAAAAAAAAAAAAACAACTGACTCCTTTATCTCTGATTTACCAGAATTTAAAACCCACACTAGAAAAAGACAGTGTTTCATTATATTACGACACGCAGGTCAGGATTATTTTACACAATTTATAATGAAAAACTGTTGGTCAAGTAGCTTCACATCAGGAAGTAGCAAAACCTGTAAGCCAGTATTAATGTTGGCCATTTTTAAAGCATCAGTAACGGTCCGATAAATACGACTCAGCCGATAAATGTTTATTTGCTATTGTGTTTCAAGACGGATGGACGACCATATATTTGTAAAGCAACAGTGCAGTGATGCGACGCAAAATTGGGTGGTCATCATCACTGTAACTATTTAGAGCAAATTTTCATATCATATTGTAATGTCACCAAATAGAAACATAATACATCGAATTATGCTGTTTTTAACAGCCAGCAACAGGATCGAATATAAACTAGTAGGATTGAGAAGTACGTTGGTACTGAACTCAAATTGGTGAATCCATGTGCTGCTTGGTGGAACTTTTAATGGGCCAAAAATAATGGCCGTTCTCTGTTCTAGGTGTACATATCTATGAACAATTTGCTCACAGCCTCCCCCCATGATATCCTACATCTAGTCCTGCACACCAAAGCCTGCCATGAATGCTATGGCTGACTAGCATAGCCACTGATGATGGCGGATTAGCAGTTTTCCTTCAACGCCAAGATGATTAGCAGCACGTAAACTATCATGATTGGTTGCACTTTGACCCTCTCCTTTGCTCTGTCTACTTCTAAACAGAGCAGCTCATTTCTGCAGATGGCAGTAGGAACACAGGGAGGAGGCAGCGGAGACAGATTTTTTTCACAGATCATCTGTCTCATGACAGTTTTAATAAATTCATAAATATTTTTGCTAAAGTCAAATAGAGATGCTTTAAACAGTGGGCTGCTGTGAGACAGCCATGTCCTTCTGCAAATGCGTGACATTTAGGGTTAAATGTTTAGACGTCTGACTGTGGTTGTATTCAGTAGTATGAACAACTGGACCACAGCAATGATAATGGTAATAATTTAAAAGGGATTTGAGCATCATGGCCTGCAGTAGCCAAGGTGCATCAATGTACATGCTGCCCAGCGATGCAGAATTGTGGGAATTTGGTTTTAATGCAGCTGATTAGCAGGAAGAAATCTGAGCTTTCAGTATTTAGTCACAGATCAGAGTCAAACGAGACAAAATTAGTTGGTTCCAATCTCTGGGCAATTGGAGCAGCTGGCTAATGTACTTCGCCAGCTGTATGGATTTTTGTCATCTTTGATTCCCGCAGCAGATTTAGGAAACGCAAAATAAATCTTACGGCTAATGTGGACATCACAGGGAAAGGGAGGAGGGGAGAGACGAAAAGACAGTGAGAAAAACAGGGTTTTTTCTGCTGTAACATCCATTATCATGCTATTGCATAACTTTAATATTCCCATCCCAATTCCCTCCCATAGTCGACACCCATCAGCTTCTTCCTCCCCACATTTTATAAACCCAAACCCACCAGCAGCCAAACCTCATCAGAAAACGTGTGTTTACTTTCCGTCTGTGGGCCGATGATAAACACACTGAGGTGTATCGGCGCGACGACAGTCCTGCTTTCTCACACGCAGGAGTTCAAATATAGCTCCTAAAACGAGCCCCATCAATCACCACCAGAAATGCTGAGCAAGCCAATGCCACCATCCCCCTTTGAGTCTCTTCCACAGCGAGAGTAAACCGCTCCTCAGTGTGTTGGTAAAAAAACATTATGCACAGAAACTGTTCAAGGCACTGAGCAGAAATAAAAGCTTTCATTTAAGCTATGGATGAAAGCTGAAGGAAAATGGTCGACGGTTTGAATGAGCGGCGGATACTTTGAACAGGTGACCCTCCCTTTCCCAGTAAGGTCACGCAGCGAGGAGCTGGGAGCCAGCCAGCATGTTTCTGTGTTTGGCAGCGAGGCAAACACAGCAGACGCCCGTGGGTTTCCCAGCAGGCCTGCAGACACTGACCTCACTCTCAACCTAACGTAAATACAAGACAAAGTGGCTGACCCAAAACAAACAGGCCGCACGTGCTGCTGCTGGGAACCCAGCGCTGCAAAACAACACGCCGCCTGGAAGCTACAAACGCACACGTGGTTCCAGCAGAACGCCGGCCCAGAAAGGGAGAGGGGGTTTTATGGAAACGGACTCAACGATAAGTGGACGACGCAAGCTTTCTATTGGCTGAGAAACAGGAAGTGTGCAGACCATTTAACAGCAAGTCAGTTGGGAGACACACAACTAGAAGAACCTCAGAACCAAACAATAAAGGCCCTCAGGACGAGCAAGAGACAAAGTCAAAATAATAATAAAAGGTTCAAATGAAATGGATTACGACCAAAACATTTCCTACTCCAACAACAAACAAGAATCTCCAAGTATATTACTGGCAGATAAAGCATTTTCAGGAATGCTTTAAATATTGAAGCACTTAACTTGCACTACTCGCCACTTTGGCCTGTTTTCAATTATTATTTCAAATCCAATTGTGGTTACCGAGACTTCACAATCCATTTAAATTATTGTTGTTTTGTTCAAATATTCAAAATGTTTTACAGTTCCAGGCATAAATATTCTTTGAAAATTGGTCTTTGAGAGGGTGTCATTACATTAATATAATTATATTCGTTGAAAATTATCTCAAAATGACATTTTTTCTAGCCATAATTTCGTCCAGCACAGTTTGTTATTGTGAGAAGCGATATTCTGATGAAAAATTATTTACTAGGAGGAAATGAATCGGCATAGGACAAATTAAAACAAATCAAATGGAAGCAACTACAATTTCCATGTTTATGTTCAAAAATAAGACTGAATAAAACTTCTGCTTTACTTTCACTAATGAATATAATAGTAATTTTATTTTTTTGTAATTTACATTTGTAAGGTTCTAACTGCAAGTAATAATGGATTTGGAGTGAAAATGTATAAAATCTTTAGAGTACAAGAGTAAATATTAGGAAGAAAATCTAAAAACTCTTGTTTTAACAAATTTGCACATAATGAGAAAACTTTACAAACCAACTAAAAATCTAAAAATGTCAAACTGAAAAAGATATACATTTCTGTGAGTAAATTGAATAGGGAAAAAGGTGGAAACTCAAAAATCTATTTTTTTCCTCTAGGTGTGAAAATAAAAACAGAGCCATGTATCCCATCCAAAACAAATATCCGCGTTAATCTGAAGTAGGAACAACTGCTACAATTCAAAGCATATTCTTAATCAAATCTGACACAAATTAATAAATTGCTCCCAAATTATGTTGATAGATTTGTTACACAATCAGATGTTCCAGCTGAAAAGCACAACGTATTGTAAGAGACAGGTATTCTCCCTACACACTGTCCTGATGGAGGGCCACATGCCACCAGTGTGCTGCCTTCGGTGCCATCTGGCACACTGAACCCCTGACACCAAACACAGGCTCCAAAGAAGAAGAAAAAGCATGCATTGGACTGAAATAAGTGTATGATGCAGCCTAATTTGCTCAGCATTTTAAGAAAAAGTGTGGCGAAGTAGAGAAATGTCCTGAATGAATATTTAAGAAAGATGCACATCATCCACACAAAAATGAATCCAAAACATTTCCCCAACGAGATACAAAATCACAGCTGCCCAGTAAAACTAGCTTGTCCTCCCAGTGACCAGCAATGCAAACACACTGAGGAGAAATCCCTTCTTGTGAATGAGACGCACGTATCTGACAGCTGCACATGCTTAGTGACACCTAATGCATTTATCGTTCAAAGAGCTGAAACATCACTCAGAAAGCAAAAACAACATGGACGTCACCAACAAAACCTAGCAATTCTGATCAAATCATTCCAGCTCAGTCATGCTAACATGCATTCTATTAAAATAAGAAAATATACAATTCTGATCTCAACCGCCTTCTTTTGCTAACACACGGCAGCATTGTTGACATTTCTGCAAACCGATCTGAGAGCAGCAGCGCCCCCTTGCCTCAGCGCTCTGCTACTACGCCAACACAAGGGCCCCTTCCTCACGCAAGACACAAAATGTCGGCATTGCTCAAGTCACATGACCCCTTTGTACTCAGAAACCCGTCTCATGCATAAATAAACCGGTAAAACCCGGTAATTTTATCAAATACAAACTCCTTGTGTCTAAATTTCCCCAAAACACCCGTCCATGTCCAGCGAACGAGCCGTTAACTGTCCCAAACCGTCGTGTTTCTTCAGAGAAAATTGGCGGCCATTTTGTGAAAGCTTGCGCAGGAAAAAAAGAGGGGCGCCTCTGATCGCTTAAAAATAAAACAAAGCTTAAAACTTCACATTTTCAAACCGTTAAAACATTACCGATTCCTCTTCTTTCTCCATCCCCGTCGGCATCTGCGGCACAGCCCGGTTAATGGATGCATATTCGTGTAGGTCGGGTAAATCCTCACAACGGAAGACGGGTAGTGGCTTGGAAGCGTCCAGCGCCCGTGCCCGAAACGACAATTTACTCATTTTTTCACAATTCCAGATGCAATATAAATCTATCCGATCTCCTAATGTTCACAACGGCACCGAGTGGAGCTTTCATTGATGTTTCTGTGCGGTTAGTCTCTAACGTTCGGAAGGTTGTAGCTTGTATTTAGGGCGTCGCCAGCGGAGCTGGGGGAAGGCCCGGATCTCGGTCGCTCTCTCTCGGACTGTTTTTTTCCGACGCTCCGCTCCCTATCGGTGGTTCAGTGCGCCATGGACAACATGGCGGACATTTAAAAACTCTTTTGCTCTGTTTCGCTCGGAGCGGTCCAACCCCCAGTTCGTGGACCGACCATTCCCACACGGTCCCGAGCGCTTGCGCGTTGTCGGGGTTGGGGGAAGGGGGTATTTGTTGCAAATCAACTTCGCTCCACACATCCACATCAATTATTGAAATAAACATCAGACATGGCCGAAATACGTACCAGGATACGGAAGAATTAAAATAAATTAAAAACGATTCCATTTATTTCCAAAAATAGGATAAAACGCCAGGAAAATATTTAATATATTGTAAATGAAACTTTAAGATCACAAAAAAAATTACCAGCAGAAAATTTTTAAAGCGTAAAATAAAACAAAAATTACGTAATAAAGACAAACCCAGGATGGAAGAGACGTACATTTAAAATAAGTTTAACATTTTATATGAACATAAAGCAAAAACAAAAACAATCTAAAGACAGATTAAAGTCGTACATAAATACCACAGTAAACTCACAAAATACAAATATACGTATTTTTTAACAAAACATGCAAATAAAATACCAGGTTTAAACAAAAAGTGGCACAACTGACTGAATATCCCAAACCAATCCAACTTATAAGAAAAGTTAATAATTAAAAAATAAAAAACACAGTTGATTTTTCCAATATTATAAACCAATTTAGGTTTCTAGAAATAATTCCTCTTTGTTTTATACTTTTATTCTCAGTTCCTTACATTTCAATATATTAATTCCTCCTATCAATATACAATTAAAATAATTTATACATGATAAAGTATAAAACTACTCATAATACTTTATATTATTCAACCCATATTTCAAAGTTATGGAATGCAGTAATTTTGAGCAAAACTAAGTCAACTCCACCTAGAAAACAAAAATGTTTGTTGCTCTTTTTTATTTTATTTGGTGTGAAAACAAGAAAAACATGACCAACTCCCACTCCACCCACTAAATCTAGCAACAACTAAGGATGCAGTCGTTGCTGGATGAGCAGGAAAAACTGTTCAGATCCACTGAACCTCATCAGCAGTGATGCCACAACTAACTGGCACATAAAAAAGATGTTTACTCCAGATGAAATGAGTCACAGCGTGCACAATGCTGCCTCTGTCTGGAGGCACAGGGACATGCATGTGCACAAAAATACAACATGGATCAAGTTTTAGAGGGTTTGCTTCAAAAAAGACGCCCCACTTCGTTTGGTAATATTCCTAAAATTCACAGAATAATATTACATTTCCACTAAAGCGCCTTACCTATTGATACTGTGATTATCCTGGGTCCAGGCAGAGAACGAAGCTTTTTATTTTCATTCTGAAACCCATAACTTCCACAAAGACGATCTGGAAAGAAACAGAAAGAAGAACAGAAATTTTAAAATCTGAAAGCAAATAAAATAAAAATCAGGACGAAACCGAAAGAGAAAATTAGGTTTAGCAGAAGTTTGCTCATGTAAGGCTGCAGAGGAGACGGCTCTCCGCACCAGCTGATGGTGATTATTGGGCTTGTGCAAGCACACCTGGTGCTGCTCAGGTGCAGAACCAAAAGAAATAACTTCATTTTACCAATAGTCAGATTGCCCAGAGTGAAGCTTCAGGGATGAAACGATTAATCAAATTAATCCTGATGAATCAATTACTGAAATAATTGTCAACTATTTTAGTCATAAACTGCTAACTGCTGTACAAAAGGCCATTTGCTGAAAGAACAACATACACAAAGTAGTAATTATGTCAAAACTGTGCAAACAATATTTAAATTTTGCACTTAAGACTAGAATAAACTTCTTTATCTATAAATGTTTTATCCCGGAACTCCTTAAATGGCAGTTCACCTAATTAAATTATGTAAATAAAATAAAACCTCCAATTAGATACCCTTTTCTATTAAATTATTATTTGATTAATCCAACAATCAATAAATCAGCTCTACACTGTATTGATGCAAAGTCAAACACATTTTTTTAGCTTTTTTTGCAGCTAAAAAAACATTTTAGCTGCAAATGATTAGGCAAGAAAATGTTTTTATTGATTCTACTCATGATTTAGGAAAAAAGTCTTAAGTGGTTTAGAACGTGGCTACTTTTCATTTGATTAACTGATTAAATAGAATAGTTGATAGATTAATCAGTTAAAATCATCATTAACTGCAGCCCTACACAGATCGTCAGCAAATTATTAATTCGATCCTAAATGAAACCATAAGAAGTTTGACACTGTTTATTCAAACCTGCTGCATGATGCAAAAATATTCCCACCTGTTATGAGACAAAGTTTCTTAAAGTTCTTTCGTGTCTGCAGAAGTTTCTCAGCTGGAAAACACATTTCTAACCCAGAAAGTGAGACAGCTGCTTCTCATTCCCAGCATGTATGAGGTTTTAAATGTTTGCCAGAAAACATGGTAAATTAAATGAATAGCAGAAACGAGTCTCTCAACAAAACACCAGATGCATCGCATAGACCACATCTCCCTTAGACCCCTTAAAAATAATTGTTACTTAGCATATGGACAGGATGGAGATGATGGGAGTTTCTGTTGCTAGTCTGCTTGCTTCTCCAAGACAAAACTAACTTAATCCAGATTAGGGCTGGACGACATGGCTGAAAAACTTATAATGCAAGCGTTTTATACTAGTCAGTATTGATATCTACAGATCAGATTTAAGTTTTAAATCTGTGAGATACGACCAGACTGGTGGTGTGATTTTCTTTTCTTGCTGTTTTTGCTTTGTATTATTTTGTTTTAGGCAATAATGAGACATGGTGGCGAATCCTGAAACTGCTACTGCGCACGTTTTTCAACAGGTTGTTGCTAGGTAACCACAGAATGATTGAGTTGCTAGGTAACCAAAGAATGAGTGAGTAAGTTGATTCCACCAACCAAGCTTCACTAGCCGTTAAGAGGTTGAGCGGATAAAGTCTTTCCTCTGCCTACATCTCCCAGAATGCTGTGCGACTCTGAATCAACAATCAGTGAATATTCTACACATTGAATATTCTCATACACATCATCTACTCTACTGATGTTGATCACATGACTACCGTTATTGATCAAATGAAATCCAATTAATCTAACTGTCTTTGGCCACATAAATTACAACAATAATTCAAACATTAAAAAAAAAACAATTACAAGTCCAAAAAAAAAAAACCATAATTAGGGATCCCAACAAATTAAACTGTCATACTGTATTAATGCTGCATTTCTGTGTTCGGAACGGGAAAATCCTGACATTCCAGTCGGAAAAATCAACTTTAAGTGGGCTTTCCAAGGGGAAAGCGGGAGCAACTTGGCTTTGCATTTCAATATGGCCGTCCCTTAAATCACTGGAAAGATAAAGTGAAAACATATTTATTTACAACATAAACAAGTAAGAGTGTGTTTTAAATCAATGTTACATGTTGTGCCTGCAGCTACAAACTGAACAAATTAAAAGCAGTGTTTGTTTATGGAAAGTAAAGCTTAGAATGATTATAAGAACTGTTGTAAACAACGTTTATGGAAGTCGCATTGTTGAAATTCAAACTTCTTAACTGGAAAGCTCAGAGTTTCTACTTCCTCAGTAACTGAAACGCAGCATGTAATCGGTCAAGTAAAAATGTGTTTTTAAGAAAAAAAACTTTAAAACACATATGAAGGTCAATATTAATGTTGTCCTTCTCGGACGTTTGCTGTGGCTTTTTCTTCAACAGCCTGACAGCTTACTACTGCTGCATTCAAAATGAAGCCTCGATGACTTACAGCTTCCTTCAGTTTCTAAGTGACCAACATGAGGAATAATGGGTGCAATTTGGAGATGTGCACGCTTCTTTTTAGCTCAGAGGCCAGTACATATTTCAGTGTACAAGAGGCTTGGTTTGTGGCAGGATATAAACAGGCAGACGCATCACAGCATTGGCAACTTCTGACTTAAGTTGCTTCGAAAAAGCAACTTAAGGATTTTAGGATTCTTTTAATTATTTTTTTTTTAATCACTTAATGGAAAAACTGCAATTTTGCAAAAAATCTTGTTTTTCATCAAATAATTTTGGCACTAAAATTGAAAAAAAAAATTTTTTTTTTAGCGAGTTGAAATTGATTTAATTTTTAAAACTACAACGGAAACATTTTTCACATCGTGAGTCACATGATCAACAACCAGATGTGATTACTGGTGAAAACCATGAAAAGAAGAGGACAGGAAGTAGTCAAAAAATGATGACACGGCATTTTTTTAATGACTTATTGTGTGAACAAATTTACAGATATCTGATTTAAAATCAGATTTGCGAAACCGTGTTTTTTCGACATCAGCAGAATATTGACAACGGTTTGCAATGAAAAATTTTGCAATTGTAATGGAAACACAACTATTGTTGATTTGAAAAGCAATCTTGAATTTCACAATTTGGTTTGCTTTGCAAGCCTTAGTAATTCATATTCTTTATTCTTCATATTAACCTAATTTTAACTTGAATTATATCTTAATGGAGGCTGCAGTATAACTTTAATTTAAAAAATTATAATTTTATTCCATATTTGTTAAAACTGTCAATATGTTTTGACAGTTAATTATTAGACAGATAACCTGTAAACATACAGGTGTGGACAGTGCTAGGACACGCCTCCTGCCTGTGACTGGTTGTTTCCAGTTAGCACTGGGAGAAAGCAGGAGCTCAATTTTTTTCAGATTATTCGTTTCATACCATACTGACAGTGTCTTCAGTCAGAGGCTTCTTCCATCTGTTGTAACACAGACTGCTGGAGGAGATCTTTTCTGCCCACAGCCATCAGTTTCTACAACTCTTTGAATTTATTACAAACTATTCAGTTAAATTTCTTCAGTTTTAAACAGTTAAAGTTCATCATTTTAGCTGAGTGACAGAACTGTTCCAAATAAATTTCACCAAAGGTTGGATGTTTTTCACAATATTCCAGCTAAACCTGTCACAATAAGCAATACAACAATTATTTGCGTGATAAATTACAATAAATGAAATAATATCCAGTTGCATGATTTATCGTTTTTCTCTTTTGTCTCTTTCTGCCAAAAACTGGACAACGAAAGTCTTCAGTATGACTAGCCCTTTTTTTAAAGGATAATTTTGTTTACAGAGACTTCATAAGTAATTTTCCTTTCTGTCTTCCTTATCTATTTAGAATATTTAAAACATCT